GAGCACTGGTTGTAGAAGCGATCCTTGCAGTGGCAGGTTCCTCTCTGAAACAAGCATTGAAAGAGACAAAGACAGTAGACCAGTGCTTCCCAAACGGCCTGTGGTTGAGGATGAGCTTTTTTCTGCTTGTGCTTTTGGATGTTCTTCTAATTTAATTGCTTTTGTGGGTTTTTTTTTTTATTAAAGCCAAATTTAATATTTTTATTTTCTTATAAATGAAAGTTTGTGAATTTCAGTTTCAATATACTTGATATTTTGGTGGATTCTACATGGCCACAAATCTTTTTTTTTTTTTTAATTACCCAAGTCAGTTTACAATGTTGCGTTAATTTCTGGTGTAGAGCACAGTTATTCAATTATACATATACAATTCCTTTTCATATTCTTTTTATAATAGGCAATTATAAGACACTGAATATACAATAGGACCCTGTTTATCAATTTTATATATAGCAGTTAGTACCTGCAAATCCCAAACTCCCAATTTATCCCTTCATCCTCCCCTTTTCCTCCTGGTAACCATATATTTGTTTTCTATGTCTGAGTCTGTTTCTGTTTGCAAATAACTTCGTGTCATTTTTTAGATTCCACATATGAGTGATATCATACGATATTTTTTTTCTCTTTCTGGCTTACTTCACTTTGAATGACAATTTCCAGGTCCATCCATGTTGCTGCAAATGATATTATTTTATTCTTTTTTATGGCTGAGTAGTATTCCATCACACAAAGATACCACACTGTCTTTATTCAGTCATCTGTCTGGATTTTTAGCTTGTTTCCATGTCTTTGCTATTGTAAATGTTGCTGCTATGAACACTGGGGTGCATATATTTGTTTGAATTAGAGTTTCCTCTGGATATATGCCCAGGAGTGGGATTGCTGAATCATAGGGTAAGTGTATTTTCAGTTTTTTAAGGAATCTCCATACTGTTTTCCATAATGGTTTCAGCAATTTACATTCCCATCAACAGTGTAGGAGGGTTCCCTTTTTTCCACAGCCTCTCCAGCATTTATTCTTCATGGACTTTTTAATGATGGCCATTCTGACTGGTGTGAGGTGACACCTCATAAAGAAAATAAAGTCTCACTTGCTCCTCTCTTCTCTCCTCCAGGCACCAGCTATCTTTAATTTCCTTCTCTCCTTTTTTTTTAAGGAGTCTACTGTGGACCGATAAGATTGTAAAATACAGTAGAGAGGAGAACAGAGAAAGCGCCCAGGAGGGAATTCACAAAAATACTCAGATGTTAGTGCTGCCTCGGGTGATGACAGCCTTGTGCTTTCTTCTCCAAGCTTTTCTCTGTTTCCCACATTTTATTCATGTGTTTACATACACACAACCTCCTCTAAATATCTAGACATTGTATGTGTATTGTGGACAAAGAGTATTGCCTGCTGTATCAGTAAATAAAGGAAGTTGTGACCATCAAGCCAGAAGTCACTGCAGCCGCCCCAACTGTGCACCCTGAGGGGACCCAGGGTGGAGAAAAGCAGGATCCAGGCCCTAGATCACTAAGGGGCACATCAAGGGAATGAGATATCTGGTTTTCTTTAATTAACAGTAATCTTTTGATGTTCCCACTAACTGGCTTTTGTTGGAAAATTCCTATATATCCTGGTTCCTCCCCTACCTCTTCAGGGCAGTCCCTCAGAGCGATCTGAGAGGTGGCTGTCTTTCAGGCTTAAGTCCTCAGAAAGTCTGCCAAATAAAACATAAGTCTCAACTTCTAGGTTCTACATTTTTTTTCAGTCAACAGTATACATCCATATCATTTATTTTATACACATATATTGCTCAAAGAGTTGTTTGATGTTCTTTGGAAGCCATGTCAGTGGGTATTTGTAACAAGCTTACGGACAATATAACCCACAGGACTTTTTTCTCATACCTGTGGTCAAGTCAGCTCATGAACTACAACCGATCGTTTGCACTTAAAGACTGTCTTTAGATTTACGATGAGGTCACATGACGATGCACAATGCCTGGGATTTAAATCAACACCTCCTGTAACGCTCACTAGGCCCGCAGGTTCCCTGAATGTTTGCTAATTAAGATGAGAGTGAAGGCAATGAGTGTTGTCCTGGGTTTGTCTGTCCTATCCTCCCTGCTCGAAGAGATCTTCCAGAATGATGAGCCTGGAATTCTCAGTCTTACTTTGTCTTAGACATTTGTTGACATTTCGCAGTCTTTCCCAAGCAAGGGCTCTGTCCTCCCTTATTCTTCTTGTGCTTTAGTCACAGGTTGATGTTGCTGTCATTGCTGCTGGCATTTTTCGTTAAACCAACCCAGTCTGGGCCTTCACCTTTCCTATATGCTGTAGCTGTCTTTGCTGATATGTTTATTTGGATGGAATCTACAGAACTGTCTGCTTAGCCAACTCCCTTCTGGGACCTCCACATGCCGGGCACAGTGCGGGTGGTCATGCTTGTGCATGACACACCAGCCACAGTGGATCAGTCTGGGAGTAAACACGTGATCCAAATTGGATCAATGAGTTTCTTCCCAGGAATCTCAGTGTGGGAAAGAGGGAGAATCTTCTCTTTCAAAAGGACTGAACCAATGACATACACTCAAAGCTGTTAGGCGAGCCTATCTGCCATCATGTTGTCTTGTGAGGAAGAAAGCCTGTGCACAGACACACCGCAAGAGCGGAGGCGAGAGAGGACGATGGGGCTGTGGTACCATGTGCTCTGAGAAGAGGGCCCAACCTCCAGCTGCTGTGCTTCCCCACAGTTCCCTGATGCTTGCAACTCCTGATGCTGAATTCCATGACTCACTCCAGGATCCTGCCAATAAACTGTCTTGGTTGTTTAAGCTAGCTAGGTGAATTTACTCCAGAAGAACCTTGGCCATCTGTGACACTGATCTGCAAGATATATCTGTCTCTGTCCTTGTTCCTGGTACAGCTCCTAAAACTGGGATTTCCTAAGGCTTGAGAGGAGTAAAGGTGTCTTTTGTTAAGTCAATCAGGTGACTTCTGGAAAGCCGTTAGGTAACCTATAGATGGAGGCTGGTTGCCAGGGAGACCAACCAATGAGCAGACGGTTAGAACTTTCAGTCCCATCACACTGAACTTCTGGAAGGGGAGAGGGGCTCAAGATTGAGTTCAATCACCAATGGCCAATGATTTAATCAATCCTGCCTGTGTATTGAAGCCCCTACAAAAACCCAAAGGATGATGTCCAGAGAGCATCCGGGTTGGTGAACATGTGGAGATGAGGGGAGAGTGCCGGGCTGGGAGACAGCATGGTAGTCCTGGGCCCTTTCCCCAAACCTTGCCCTGGGCATCTCTCCCATCTGGCTGTTTCTGAGTTAAATCCTTTCATAATAAACTGGTAACCTAGGAAGTAAAACGTTCCTGAGTTCTGTGACCCAGTATAGCAAATTACTTGAATCCAAGGAGGTGGGGTCACTGGAACCTCCAATCTAGAGCCAGCCGGTCAAACGCACAGGTAACAACCTGGCCTTGGGACTGGTATCTGATGGGGGAGCAGGGAAGGGAAGTCTTGTGGACTGAGCCCCCAACCTGCGGGATCTACCCAGAGATAGTGTCAGAATTGAGTTAATTGGCCTAGTGATGTGGAAAAAACACACATCGGAATTGGTGTCAGAATTGTACCAACCCATACGTCTTCCTTTAAAACTCTTACACTCATTACAGACCTTTCTAGGTCACCACATTGATTTTATTTTGAAGTTCATTTAGTTCTCCCTATCTCCCCCTCACTGAGCTCATTAGCTACATGTGGTTAGAATTCTGCCTTTTAAATCTTTCCACTCCCCTTGCACCATCTTTCCTTCAGAAAGCATTCTTTTTTCTTTTCCTCTGTAGCTTTCAAAATTTGTCTACAGGCTGCGACATGGCCATAGCACTCAAGAGCAGATACAGGGCAGCACGCGCCTCTCCCAGGCCACTTCCTTTCAGTTCTGACACGGGGTGAGGCCCGTCAAGACTGAGTGAGGTATCTGCTTTCAGCTGTATGAGGCTTCCAGCGGACTTCTGGATAACTAATGAACTCTCCTTCCTCCTATGTTTAGCACTATCTTTCTGAATGTTTATTATGAGTAACTCCTGCTAACACATGGCATTGCCTCTGGAATGAGTTCTTTTTAAGACCAACGTAACGACAAGGTGAAGACTATTAGAGGATGCTTTACACACATGCCACCTGACTGTAGGTTGAGGTGATGGGGACAATGCAGAGAAATCTTTAGGTTGAATGTTCCAGTTTCACTGGAAGAGGATGAAGAGACCCAGACATGGGGAAAAACAGGCTCTACATCCTCGCTGGCCATGCTGGGAGCCTGGTGGGGAAGGAATATCCACTGGAGAGACACGGGGCACACATAGGGCATGTGAATGGAAAAGATGACCTACAAAAGGACCTGTTGTGGATAAGAAAGAGGGGTGGAAAAAAATGTCGGCGGCCAGAGAGAGGTAATCTAGGAATTATGTGAGTTCTACAATCACAAAGTGACATTAACCACAAACAGAAGAATGGCGTAGAGGATGAGAATATAAAAGAAGATATTAAATTGATAATAAGAGGGGAATGGTTAAGTAAATTATGGTATCTCCAGAGAGGAGAATTCCACAGAACTGTCAAGAGTGACATTATAAGATCATGTAAATGAAAACACTGCACAGTTTACTAGGTTTAAAAGCAGGTTACAAAACACTATATTCTGTGCGTATTTTTTTTAGGGTAAAAAATGAACTATTTATTTGCTAATGAAAGTAGAAATAGACAAAAGGTATGAACAGACATTTTACTAAGAATATCCACAGATGGCAAATAAAAACATGAAAAAAATGCTCAACGTTATGAATCCTTAGGGGGATGCAATTAAAACTACTGCTTCCTTAAATTAAAAGTTTAAGGAAATTCAAAAGACTGACCCTATTAAGTATTGGCAACACTGTGGAAGCATTTTACATACGCCTGCTGGGTATATAAACACAAACAACGATTTTAGGTCACAGCTTGGCAGTTTCATAAGTCAAACATTCACCTATCTATGACTTGGGCATTGTACGTTGAGTTACTAATATAAGACAAGTGAAAATACATACATACGTATAGAACTACACACAAATGTTCTAACACCTTTATTTACAACGGTGTAGTGCTTCTTCAACTCTGGTATGTATACAAATCTGCATATTCACTAAGTCTAGGGGTCTGCTTAAAATTCAGATTCTGACGCAACAGGTCTGGAGTGGAGAGGCCCGGAATTCTGCACGTGCAGCCAGCTCCTGGGAGATGCTGCTCCAGCAGGTCAGAGGGACCACACGCAGGGGCGAGGACACACACCAGGCTGTGAACAGCGACGTTTAATGGGTCATAAAACCGTTTATTTTAGTTTTCTTCTTCTCTTAAGTATATTTTCTAATTAATTTGGGTTAAAAAAAGGAAAATTAATGGGCATGTGTTGTTTTTATGTAATGAAAAGACAAAATCCACTTATTTTAAAAAGAGAAAAGAGGTGAAGCAAGCGATGATGTCATGAGAGATATAATAACACTGTGAGGAGGAGCCTGGATAAAATTCAAATGAAGGAGGAAATGCACACGCCTAAGAAAAGGGTGGAGGGGCCGGGGGAAAGTGAGGGACATTTTGACAACAAGTCTTGAAGAGAATTCTGGGGCCACTGGACAAGTAGTAACAGAAGATGGAATTGTTGGAATCTGAGGTAGAAACTGGAATATTTTACATGCAAAGAAAATGAAAAGGCGAGCAGTGGTAAGACAGGAGCAGACCTGGGCGGCCTTGCCGGGTGCACACGGGAGCTCGGCTGGGCCTGCACTACCTCGGGGACGCAGGGACTTGAGAGAAGGGCTTGTCCTGCCCTCTCCAGTTTGAAGGATATTCTCTGTGAGGAGCCGCGAGTGGAATCTGGGCACAACTAGGAAGTCAATAGGGCCTTTTAGAAAGGCAGCCCGGAGGTTATGCCTACAGCCAGAATGTCTCAGAGCTGGACGACTCCCAGGAATGTAGGTGTCAGGGAGTCGCAAGACCACATGCTGGGCTGGGCAAAGCTGGGCCCCCTTCTCGTGGGGCTTGGGCAGAGTGTGAGCCCCAAGAAGTCTGCAGAGAGCAGCGTTTCTAGCCTACAAGAGACCCAGCCTGAGCCAGAGCCCCAAGAAGGCACTTACTGTCTCTGCTGGTGGCAGCAGAAGTGACAGTGATGGGTGGTCAGAACTATTTGACGCAAAACACCAAGTGACAAGCCACAGGCTTCACAGGGCGTTACCAGCACAGATGGGGATGAGACTCAGGTGTTCCCGATTCCTTAACCCACACCAGGGCTGGTCTGAGGCCGCAGAGAAAAGGGCAGGGGTCAGGTGCTACTTATCATCACCAACTGCTAACTGCTTTGCAGCACTCAAACCAATGCAGATATCAAAGTCGTAAAGTGATATTTGCACCATCAGCGTTAACCGGTCAGCAACAGAAGGTGGCCGGGAGCTAGCCATCCAAGGGGAAGTCTGCCCTCTGCTGGACGTGATGCTGGTGACTCGAATAAAAGGGGAGGAAAAGAAGTCTCAGGATCCCTGAGAACTGCTACTTCCAAGACCCCACCCACAAAACTCAGAGACATAGGAGCCCACAGAACAGTCAAAGGATGTAGGGGTATTTTATCTCCATACAAATACAGTACTCAGTGATCTCTGAAAAACACATCGCTAACTGCCTCTTAGAACAATGCCCTGCAGCTCACTCCCCTTCCCTTCAACCCTTTTTAGGGCTTTTCCCTATATCAGTTTGCCTTCTTCCATTCACTGAGAAATACGCAGCATTTTCTAGTAAAACATATTCAGGGAGCTGTTTTTTTTTTAATGTATATATATATTTTTACTGAAGTGTAGTCAGTTTACTATGTGTCAGTTTCTGGTGTACAGCATAATGCTTCAATCATACATGAACATATATATATATTTGTTTTCATATTCTTTTTCACCGTAAGTTACTACAAGATATTGAATATAGTTCCCTGTGCTATACAGTATGAACTTGCTGTTTATCAGGGAGCTGTTCGAGTAAAGCAAGTTAGAGGTACTGGCTCATTCTGTAAGTGGACTTGCTGGTAGGATCTCTCACCTCCTGCTCCCCGGCTCACCCCCGAGCTGACCACTTCTTCATGCTCATCACCTGGTCTCACTCAGGCTCCTAATAAACCGAGGACACCTGTGATATTGTGTCATAATGAGAAATATCTATCTAGCCTTCTCCCCCAGGTTCTGGCATAAGAGCCTGTAAAACCCTTGGGATTTCTGAGTAGTGGGGTGAGAGGAGCATCTCCTGTTAAATAAAATCATGCCTACTTGTGGTCTAGTAAACTAAGAATATGGGCTGTTGGCACATTCGTCTACAGAATGAGTGACAAAGCTATCCTAAAATAAAGTATTGAGTGTTACTATTCCTGTTATGTCCTTTATCCCAGAACTTCTTCCAGCAATTTTGAGGGCGACTTCAATTCCTTAGGTCTCAATATAAGAGAATGTTAGTGAAAGTGATCTTAAGTGAATCCCAACTACTTTTCTTAAAGAACTGAATCAAGTGTGAAACGTGGCCTGTGCGCAGTCACTGCCACTCTGTATTTCAGGAGCATAAACGTCAGCTAGGAGCAGCGGACCCCCATCTATGTCCAGCCCAGACCCCGCTGTGGCAATGCTCGTCTAAAGGGCCCCAGGTTCTCCTGCATCCAGTCTGTCCTCACTGCAGCTTGACCTGATTTTCTTGACCAAAGTGCTCTCCTGCTCTAAGGAAGGACTTGCTAGTTCCACGGTGGCTACTGAATACAGTCTAAACTCTCAGGTTGACATCAAAGCCCCAACAGTTTGGCCCCCACAACCTCTGCCAACTTGATCCCCTACTCTCCGCCGGCCTCTTTCTGTCCTCAGCCACGCTCGCTTATACACTTTCCCTGGTAACCTCGGGCCCAGGCTGCCCCAAGACCTTTGTTGAGGTGGTTCCCTCTGCCTGGATTCCTCCTCCCTCCTCACCTGCCAGTCAAAGTCTCCCCAAGAAGCACTCAGGAGGTTCTTCTCTTCTCCTTGGGCTTGGTCCACCCCCCCACCCCTACGCCTAATGTACTGATTAACACTCCACTGTCAGGCTACTGCGGAACGGGTTTATCTCCCCCCAGACCTCCAGCCCCTGGAGAGCGCTCTTGGCTTTCCTCCTGGCACGGGAGCTGAGAAGACGGCGGACTGAAACTGAGGGCGAGGGGAGGGGACAGCCACCCTGCATGCCAAAAGCCGTGCCCGCCCTGCCCACATGGAGCTCGAGACTCTGCACACTTACGGTTCCCACAGTTGAGACCACCAAGGCCGAATGGGCAACTGCAAGTCGACAGAGAAAAAGAACAAGAGTTAGTTTCGATTATCAAAAGAAATAGCTGAGGCAATTTTCCTAAGTAATGTCTAAACAAGGTTTGGAACAAATTCATCGGAAGAAGTGAGCACAGAGCCTACCTCATACAGGTTTCATTTTCAAGCCTGTATCCATCTTCACACGCTGAAAGAGAAAAGGAAAAGCTATGAGTGTGTCTGACCTTCCTTGGCCCAAACTGACAGTTAATAAACACCAACCACCCTAACATCCTCAAGAAGATTCTAGTCAGAAGGCTGCAACTAGCTCTAGAATCATCTCCCACCTGGCCCAAATACTGCTGCCAGCTCAAAGCTTAGCTTTATCCAAAACATTTCTTAACCTCCTAGTGGCTCTCAGTTTCCCATCTATAAAAAAAGGATGATGATGATGGTGGAGGTGATGATAATAATAATATCTACTTCATAGTTCCCTGGAGAGGATTAAGGAATAAGGCCTATGACTTAGCACAGCACCTGGCACACAGCAACCGCTGACGAGATGTCTACAGTTGTAACTATCACACAACAAGTACAATTCTTTGTGGAAGCTCTGTGGCCCCTGTGTAACATCCTTCCATCAACACAAGATAAATGCTCCACCTTCTCTAACATAAATCAAATCTTTAACTGCTGTTGGCTCCACCAGCCCCCTTCCTTGAGGAAGTGAGAGCTGTAACATCTTCAGAGCCATGGTCCTAGGGTGGGGGGAGTGCCCAGTTTCCATAAGAGAACGCTCACCCTGCGGTCTGTGCAGGTGACTGTGGTCTTGCCTAGATGAGCCCTAATCTTATGTCACTCAAGACTACAGCTCGGAGCCCTCTGGCAGTGCTGCTCATGGACCACTGCTTCCCTGAAGGCCTGTGGGCCAGCCATTCCCCTGCATCAGCAGTTCCTGAGTTTATCTGATCACGGACGGTTTCCAACACTACAAGAAGCTGACAGCACATCATGAGCTGTAACGCACGCTTGGATGAGAGCGGACAACACAAAATGGCCTCACAGACAAATTCACTGCTGCAAGGAATGATAGAAATTTGATTCATGACTAATGTATGATATAGGATGCATACATGATCACAGGTGAGAAACGGCACCTAGCGTAGAACAGCGATCCCTGGACAGACACCACACGTGCTGATGGCGCCATGAGAGGCCAGCAGTGCACGTGGCCCAGGGGCTGCATGCCCTGCGGGCTGGAGTGGGAGACGGCTCACAGCCTGCCCGCATCCTCCGTTAAGGGTTGGTGCATTACAATATTAACTACACAGATGTGCTTAACATTGTTCTTCCTTCTATTTTTTTTGGTTTAAAAAATTTTTAGTTTTTATACAATTTTTAAAGGTAACACTTCATTTACAGTTACTACAAATACTGGCTATATTCCCGTGTTGTACAATACATATCTTCCTTCTATTTTTTAAGGTTAGACACCAGGTGTCTCTAGCATCTATTTTGTTGTCACAGACTATCGACATATTGCTGGAGTTTTGTGGAATGGTTTGGAAAATTTTGTTCTAAATAATCTGTAAGTCTCTCACGGCAGATCATTAGAGCTGTGAACCGGGACTGCACGGTGCTGGCTCCATGGAGTCACTTTTCCTGAGCTACATTCTCTTCATTAAGGGCATCTATTATTAGCGGCAGCCCTGGGGAGTCCCTGTGGTATTTCTGGTGGGCCATCACAGACTACACTGCCACAGTGCCACCAGGACCTTTGTGGTGAGGCCGCACCAGAGAAACTGTTCCCGGGTCCCAGGCCCTGCAAGGATGGGGATGGTCCTGAACAACTCTACTTTAGTTTATGGTCCCCACTTGATTTCAGAATCACGATTCTCTCTGCCTCAGCGGCTGGGAAGCTCAGAACTTGAGCAAGAGGTCTATCTTTAGCAAACACATGGGAAATTACGATCTATTTTTCTGCATATTCACTTTCCTTCCAGCCTCAATAAAGCAGTCGTTTTATTTCTCCAACCTGATTTACCTTTCAAATCAAATCTCATTTTGTTACTATGAATTTTCATTAGGTGCTTTGAATCTTTTTTGCAACAAGGTAGAGCATAATCACATTCCATTTCAGGAAGGAGGAAGGTGGCCCCTCTCCCAAATCTTTGAGACCTGAGTTCTCTGCTGGCCTCACTCAGGTGGGGCCTTGTCTGAGGAACCAGCCGAGCACTGCTGCCTCCCTGGCGGGGAAAGCACCGAGCCCCGCCAGTCCCGGTCCTACGGCCAGGTCGTTGGAACGGGAGGAGCCGACACTGGCTGACCCAGAGCCCTGCCTGCAAGGCGGCTACCCGGGGACTGCTGGCATCCCGGGGACTCACCCCCACCCATCTCAGCACTGAGGCAGGCTGACATCACATCGGTCTGTTCTATTCTGAACACTTCTTCCTGGAAATGTTTTTACATCAACTCTACCCACCCGTCCCTCATCTGCTGGGTGGGAGCTTTCCACCCCAGGGCTGTCATCCAGCCAGATGTAAGGTCCATCTGTTGTCCTGCCTGCGAGCTGATGGGTGGGGCTGTCTGCACATAGTTTCAGAAGTGGCCTGACTTCCTGGTATAATGCTATTTCTTCATCTCAGATGAGCTTGGTCAGTCATTCATCAAAGACTGAGAGCCGTGGTGGGCCTGGCACTGCTCCAGGGGCTCTTGGAGGGAAAACTTGCCACAGGGCACCCCAGTGCGCCTTAGGACCAGATCCTCATCTCCACACCCTAGAGGGATCCTGACCCATGGAGCACTGAAGATGAAATGAGGTGGCAACAGCCAGCACACAACGCCAACAGTGGGCTTCCCTTAATGATATGGAATACAGGCAAATCCAAGCCTTCGTGCCTTTTAAATAAAACCAGTAGGTGGTGGAGTCTTCCGAGGCTCTTTTCTTCCCTTGCAGGAAACCAAATCAAGACCTGCCAATCTTTTCCTGTCATATTTGCTGGCCATCATCCATTTGTTCCTCCCACAGACGTCTGTGGCACCCCACAACGTACAAACATAGTCTAGAGACAGGCCTCCACGGCGTCTGCAGTGCAGTCAGAGAGGAAGACCCGCAAACAGATGGCTGGGCTTCATCAGAATGCCTGCACGATGGAGGGGAGCTAAGGCGCCTATGGGAGGGACACCTATTTTAACTTTATATGACGCTTTGAAAGTCTGGTAAAGACACTGTAAAGACACTTTATATGAGACACAAAGAAGTGTCTGTGTGTGTGTGCACAACAAAGAGTAATATGTACTTGCTACTGGATAGCTGTGAATTGCAGAGATTTAAAAAACACACCCACAGGCCCCTCTCCTCTGTTTCTCCATTTATACGGGGAACTGACCCCAGGATTTGAAGTGTCCTTTTAACTACCCTTGTGCTCGAGCACCAATGGCCAGAAGATGTCACTGTAACCCCTCAGAACCCAGCCGACAGGGCTGTGGCCCAAGCAGCTCGGGGATCCATTCATCAGAGCTCTAGGCCAGAGAGGAAAATCTAACCAACAGGATGCTGCAGAAACGGGGCTGAGGAGGGCCACAGCCACAAGCGCAAAAGGCAACCAAGGTTTCCTTATGCTGCTTCTCAGGTCATTGCTTCCCTAAGGCTGCCGGCGCCTGTGTCACTCACTGCACCTGGTAATCTGTGCTAGTGCTAATCTGTAAGCGGCGGTTATGAAATCGCTAACTTGGAAAGAGAGGGAAGCGGCTCAGGCCAGCTGGCTGCAGAGGGGCAAGGCTGCTACTGAGGCCACCCGAGAGCGCGGAGGCCCCCAGCACACACGGATGGCCCATGTGCGGGGGCTCAACACCCCAGATTCTAAGATCGGCGAGGAACACTTTGCATCAAACCAGAAGAGAAGAAACTCAGAAGCATCGTCTCTGCATCAAAGCGACAGAAGGACCGGGTGCCGAGGAGCGCTGTGAGCCTCACGCAGCAGGGCCGCTGCCCCAGCGAGTCGCCCTCCGCTTCACACCCATCCCAGGCCTGCGCACTTTCAAAGCTCAGGAGGAGAGTGCTGCCCTGAGATGTATTTTTATCCTCTCCTAACAGAACAAGTCCTCCTCTAACAGGAAGTCCTGATAAATATGTAGCGTGTCACCTCTCCCCAGGACGTGGTTTTTACTCAGATTCCAGGACATCTGTCACCAGCAGGCGTTGACTGAGCAGGAAAACTGGGCCATACAGGTTCTCAAGTGATGTGAGCCTTAAAGCTGCATGATGCCTTTATGTTGCTAGTTTTCCTGTGATCCCAGATTGCAGCAGTGTTTCATAAGTCAGGGTACCCAGTGCCCTGGGCTTGAATTCACTTTATTTTAAAGCAGTATTCTTGCACTGCACTCACTGAGCAGCCTTCCTCTCAAACTGAATAAATTTCATCCTCATTTAAGAGGTTAGCAGAGTTAGGATTCTTTAAAACCAGAAGTCATTGCTTTAACAGCAACCTGAGTAAAACACAAGAGCAAGTGTCAATGGCTTAGGAAGTACCTGCATAACCACTGCCCTCTCGGGTTCTTAGAATATCCAATGACATATCACTGCACCCATTTCACAGAAAAGGAAACTCAGGCTCAGGGAGGTGAAGTGACTTGCCCGAGATGAGACAGGACGAGGCAGAAAAGGGCTCTAACTCAGGTGTCCGAGTGGCCAGCTGCTGCTAGACGGTTCAGCCCTGACTTCATGCTGGTATTTTCATTTTAGAAGATTAGTGGACAAAAGAATAAAACTTTGGGAATTAAAACAATAATTTTTCTAACTCCCTATAAGTAGAAAGAAAAAAAGATGGGAGAAAGAAAGAAAGAAAGAAAGAAAGAAAGAAGAAAGAAAGAAGACAAGGACTTGCCATCCCAAGCATTCCATTCTCTTTTCTTTCCCTTTGAATCTGATTGGCCAGACCAGTGCGCACCAGTCAGAGATAATGCTATTATTCCAAGGAAATAATGTATTCAATCCTGCTGGGAGCAAAATAACCAGACCCGGTTAGCCCCAGATTAGAACAGTCACACCTAGAGCAGAGAAAGCGCCCCGGGCAGAGAAAAGCACCTCCGCGTCCCCCGGGCCACAGGACCCCAGACCCTGCGGGTACCTCGGCAGGAGTGATCCATCTTGTTGAACTGGAAGTAGCCGGACTTGCACTGGCACAGGGCAACCCCGTCCAGATCGGTGCAGATGGAGGTCTCTTTGTCGCATTCTGGAGTCTTTCGCTTGCACAAGCTGCCCGCTAGAATGGAAAAACAAGACAGTGAAACAAAACAAAATCTCCTCCACTTCAAACATTAAGACGCGCAAACTTCCTATTTCAAGAGGCTCGGAGAGCAGCTTTCCTGCATGGTGCGATGGTCCTCTCTGAGGTCCCCTCCGCACAGCGCTCTGCTATTCCTCCCCGGAGTTGGCCCCCCGACCTGTTACTGGAAGTTCACACAGCATGCCACACGTCAGAAACCAAACCCAGAAGAAATGGGGTGTTGTCCCCAACTCCACTGTCCCTTGCAAACATGAACGTCTATGGGCAGCGTCCTCTGCGCCTTCACACTCAAGTACTGCAGGGGAGAATCGGCACAAACCCAGAAAGCGTGACCATGCTCGGTTAGGAAGAAGACCTGGCTCAGCTGAGGTGTGTCCTGGCTCGGGTTCTGCCTGGCCGAAAGGGATGCAGCACCCCTCCATGGAAGGTAGCTCGCTGCCTAACAGACTTATTCCAAGGAGAGGTGTAGTGTGGCATGTAACGTTACTGTATGCCCCCCACAACACTGATGGCATCCTGGGGCTTGTCCGTCTCTGGGTGTTTAGTATCTTGTGGAGACTGGTCCACACACAGGGGCTGAAGGTGGCGTGGGACCATTGGTCACCGGGCCACCACTGAGAGGCAGAGGTGGCGGAGAGGAAGCTCAATCTTTCAGGCTCTGCCTCCTTCACTTTAGAGCCTTCATTCTTATGGTACAGATATCCACCTGGCTTTGTCTGGCCCTGGGCATGGGGGCCATGATCATTCCGTGAATGACAAAGAAGCCTTTGGCATTAACAAAAAGCGTTCATTGTTGCGCACGTGGCCCTCTCTGAGGTTGTATATAGTGGACACAATGAGGGTGCATTTTAGCATCTAAGGTAGGTCTGGACAAAAAACGCACGCAATTTGTGTATACAGACAACAGAACAAAAAATGAAGCCAACTGGATAGTGGACAGTAACTTATTTACACCATGCACAGGGCAAAGCGAGACCTCTGTTGTCCTCTACTGTGTCACCAGCACCTGGATCAGTGTCTGTCATACAAGAAGGTGCTCAATAAAAATGTGTTCAAAGGCTGTCTTAAAAAAAAAAACAAAAAACTGTGCCATTGTTTTCGGCAGGCACGAGCGAGTCCAAGAGGAGAGAGCCATGTACCCTGGGCAGTGAGCTGTGGGCTCCCTCTCCCCAACTTAAGGAAAACACCAGTCTATTCAGAAACCAGGGGCCAGTCTTTAACAGCAAAACTACCCCCACCCTGGCAGGTTCTCACCCACCCAGGGGCCCCAGCCTCCACACCTCCTTTTCTGTGTCCCGAGAGCATGGGGCTTATGGGTGGCTTGGTCACAGGGAGGTTAGTTTAGGACACACTTTAGCTTTCAGTGCTGAATTTCCTGTCTTTATCAGTGGAAGTTGGCGTGCTAAATCAGAACCCTATTTGTGTTTGTGATAGAATTTCCTTTGTTTATTGTGAAAGGTTTGTATTTAAGGGAGAAAAATGAAAAATGGAAACTCTCACCAGGCAAACACTGTGAAGCTGGCACAGAGAGGTACTCAGCGGCTACAGTCCCCCGTCTCAACTTTTTGAAGCATTAATATAAAGAAATACCTCCAGCACAAAAGGCTGCCCAGACCCGTGCTAGCTTGTCCGGCAGCCAGCCTGAGTTGCCTGGCCTGATTAGATATTTTCTGGGAGCCAGTCTCATGTTTCCCTCCACCCGGCCCACGGTCCCTGCCTGCTAGGGCATACTGCTAGTCTCGCCGGGCTGAAGCAACCCTTCCCTGCACAGAAGAAGATCCACGCGAAGGAAGGAAAGCTGGCCCTGCATCTGCGACGGAGGGGTGGCCGTCCTAGAAATTCTTAAAGAGCATTCTGTCATCAGTCCATCAAACAGAGCCACATAAATGCCCTTTTCATTTGAAACCCGGTGATGTGATTTTTCTGCATCCACCGTTCCCATGGTCTTTACTGGGCATAACATCCGCCTAGCAGACAATGAGAATTTATGTAAATCTAAAGCTGGGACACTCCCTGGGGGATTTCCAAGGGCTCTAAACCTCTGGAGAGATGAGAGCTGCAGTTCTCTGAAAGGTAAGAAAGATATTTTGTGAATTGAAGGGGAAAAGTCCTCCCTTCCAATGGCTGTGTGTAGAGTAGCCCAGGGCATCCCTGATGTTGGCAACACCCAGATGTCAGCACCTGACACCCAGCTCGGCCAGCCTGCCTCTTCAGCACTCAAAAAGGAGAGTGAGAGACCAAGTGGGGTGTGTTGGCAAACCTGGAGAAGCCCTGGGAGGGAAAACAGAGAAGTGAGGCTGTTTTCAGCCAAGATGCCTGGCTGTCTTTGTTCTCAGGGGCTCAGAAAGAAGACGCAAAGAATGCAGACCAGCACGTGTCGGGGGAGGGGGTATGTGGGAAATCTCTGTACCTTCCTCTTAATTTTGGTGTGAACCTAACACTGCCCTAGAAAAAAGTCTTCTAAACAAACAAACAAACAAACCAAAAAACAAGAATGGGACCTCAGCAAGGAAGCAAGGAAGACAAGAGCTTTCCCACAAGCTGCATCGAGGCAGTCAGAAGAATGGGGGTCAGAGAGTGGGCAGGGCTGCCTGGGCAGGCTCTTACACATCCAAATATCTGGCCATTTGATTTGCAAGACATGAAATGTGTTTACTGGGGACAAAAAAGTAACTTGATAGAATGCCGATCACACAGGATGCACTCTATATGTGTTTAGTGAATTGAAAGGTCCCCTTCCTACTTTCTGGAGAGGAAAAACTGGGACCCTTGAATCACTGGCAAGAGAAGGAAAGTAAAACCAAAGATCTCCTGTCTCAAAGGTTAGCACACAGTATAAAGGGGCATGGAACTATTTAGCTAATTCCCCGAAGAAACTGAATGATGGCAACTTCAACTCCAGAAAGTTTAGTTTGTTGTTTATTTCCCAAGTGAACAACTAGCCCTTAAATAAGCCAAAGTGCTAGCATTTATTCCAGTGTGACAGGCTAACTCCCAGCTGCAAGCTCTGTCATGCACAGCCCACAAGGAGTGTTCTTGGGACCAGCTCTTACAAAGCCCGGGCCCGGAAACGACCTGGAAGTCCAGCAGATAGAGGACCAAGCCCGCTACCTACAACTTAGGTGCAGCATCTGGGCACCAGATGGGGAGGTTCCCGCAGATTCCACATCCTTTCCGAGTCCTGAGTGTAGTAAAATGAGCCAAGCACAGCCAGCTCTGACCACTTATGAGCCGCAGCAGGGGCCAGCCCCCCTGCATGAGGAAGCACTTCTGATTCCAGCAGAGTTTTCCCATCCCAGAGGCGAAACCTCCCTTCCAAGACCCAAATTTGCCTTCCAAAATTGTCTCAAATCCCTTTCTTCCTCTGCTTCCCACTAGATGCACTGTAGAGGCTTTCAATAAAACAGGGCAAGAACCAGAAAAGAGAAATCACGAACAGCACTGTGAGCCATCTGGCCTATAATCTTTGAGTCTTGTTTCTGTGCATTTAGGATTTGCAAACAAACGCGCAAAAGGATGGATGATACTGCACATGCTTTTTTCTTTTTTTTTTCACCTAATGGTATATCATGATGAAGGTTTGGGGTCACTGACAAGCATGTACATTCTGTATGTGAACTTCTGTCTCCCCAGAGAGAGCAGGAAACTTTCAAGGGAAAGAAGAGTGATTTCCACTTCATTACACTCCACTTCCAATACTGATGCTTGCATAGAAGAAACAGAAATAGCATGCCAAGGACCAGTGGATCTCAAGGCTATGTGTGCAGGACTGTGTGTGTGTGTGTGTGTCCCCATCCGTGCATGAGCATACAAAGGTGCACACACACTAAGGCCAATTCTTAAGCCCATTTCAAAGACAGGCTGTCTCTGTGATGTGCTTTCCTGGGCCTGAGCCTGGAATGCCTTACATTTCTACATCCTAGGTCTGTGCCTAACTGTATGGGTGGGTCCTCCCAGAGGGCCTCTCTCTTACCTCTGAAGAGCCGCCTCTGAGACCCCAAGAGCTGGCAGAGCTCAGCAGAGGACCTGCAGGAGTTGACACATCTCTGCATCCCGTCGACCAAGTCAAACAGCGTCACATTGGAGGCCAGGGAAAAGGTGGCTTGGAGTGACATCACCACCGCACTGAACTCCCTACAGGCAAAGTATGCATGTTTTAATTGTCCTAAAATGATGTGTGGGCCCCAGGGCTTTTGGAAAACGAACATCCTCTGCATTCTCCAGTGAGGGCCTGGGGAGAGCATGAAGGTCCAGGGAACTTGGCCCTGGATTACTCTGTGGCTCAGCCCAAACAGGGCCCAGTTTTGCTGCTATCACCTGTGCTAGAATATCCTCCCCTTTCTATAGACTGATTGACAAACAAATGTAGCCCTGTTACTTACCTAGAAGCATGAGCTGTGGATCGGGTGTAACCAGGCAATGTTGAAAAACACATATTTAACTGAAAGGAAGAATAGGTTTGTCGTTAACTGGGAGTCAGACAAAAGCCTTGAACCTAGAACCAATTTCCTATTTTCAGGATAAAATAGGCATTTTCCAGCCATCAAGTTATCAGCAGGCAGCTTTACACAGGAGTGGTATCCTTTTTTTCGTTCCTTTCTGAAATGACTTTCTGCTCTTACTCTGTTGTTCCATGAGTACAAAGGGAGGGAGGCAGATAGTAAATCAGTGGGGAAAATCTTGGCAGGAAATGATGTTCAGAATAGCACCCTTGGATGCAAAACATCTTCAAAGGAGCAGATCTCTTCTAAGACCTAGGGTTTCAAAAACCTCAGAGGCAACTGTTTATTTGGACTTTGCATAGTGAACAAGCCTCACTGAAAAGGCTGGGTTCCTTTCAGCCACCCCAGGTCTGGCAGGCCCTACGCAGACCCCTCATAATCTACAATGAGTTGACCTAATTCAAAGATAGGTCCTCTTCAAAAAGGCTCTCCATGGGAAATTACATTACATGGGTCAAGAGCCCTTTTGTTGAGAGCAAATTAAGAGCAACTCTCCCTGTGTTTGCCTTGTGCCCTTGGAAAGAGCAGAAAATCCCTGTGTGGCATGAAGTCCCATGCCTGCTTCCCCCTCCCCTATCCCACCACACACACACACACACACACACACACACAATAGGGGCTGTGGATTCCTTTTATGCAGCAGAGGGTCTCAATACCATGACCAATGCAACCCACCTGTCTTCAAAGCAAGTGTGTCAGACACATCTCTCCCTTCAAACATGGGATGCTGTCATGCTGTTTTGGCTTTGTATGACATTGCTTTACATTTATAAGGCAATGATTTATTATTACTATTAAACATTTTTCCAAAAATGATACATTACACAACAGAATGGCATCTCGGGAAAGGCCACTTGAGTCACAGTCTAAATCTTCAAAACTTCTTGGGGGTGGGGGTATCACATCACTAATAAATTACATGTTGATACTGGGCAAAAATGAACAAATAAGTCACTGAGCACCGTGTAACAGGAAGGACTGTACTTCTGCATGAGGTTCTCAGCCCCTTTACTATCTTAGAAGGAAATACTGACCTACAGGACGACTAAGAGGCAGTTGTGATGGAGTGCCAAGAGCACCAGATGTAGACATAAAACCCTGCCATATAGTAGAGAATCCGACCTTGGACAAAGAGAGGTCTGGCCCTTGGCTCCTGGGAGGCATCTCTAAGCCTTTGGAATGTCCTGCCTTTGTTTACCTGGAGGCCCTGGGCCACTCCAGATAGTCTAACGGTGTGACTGATGGTGGGGGTTTTGGGTTACAGCCAGAGGAGCTGGAGACTGAGGTCAACCATATGGGCAGTTGACTATGTCTACATTTTGGCTCTAGACACCAAGGCTCAGATGATCTCTCTGGTTAACAATACTCCATGAATATCATACACATCGTAGCTGAGAGGAGTTAACACTGCCTGTGACCCCATGGGGAGTGGACTACTGGAAGCACTGAATTTGCCGCCCTCCTGGACTCTGCCTGATACATCTCGTTCCTTGGCTGATTGTAACCTGGATCTTTTCACTGTAGTAAACCCTAACCACGAGAATAACAGCTCTCAGTGAGATCTGCGAGTCCTTCTAGTGCATTATCAAAACTGAGGGTTTCTTGGGGATCCCCAAACTCGCAATGTGTGTCAGAAGTGAGGGTGGTCTAGTGCACTGTTCCCTAACTTTGCACCTGCTCTGCGTGAACTCAGGCAATGTCACCACTTCCAGAGAGCTCCCAGTTTTCCATCTGTGAAGATGTTGGCCCTACCTCTTACAGGAGTGAGGCATCTGGCAAAGTGCCTATCACAGAGTAGATGCTCAACAGATACAGAAACAGAATTGGAATCTAAGTTTTACACAAATAAAATCCATGTTCCTACAAAATCCCATAGGTTTTGGCTAATATACTAATTCTTGCCCATAAAGAACAAGTAAAATTAAAATCAGAAACCAATTAATCTCTAACACTTATTTTAATGACAAATTTCAATTTTCTGAGTACCAAATCTTAGACTCAGGTAGCGGCTGGGAGGCAAAGTTTACTCTCTAAGCTTCATTTCCACTGCTTCTTTCTTCCTCTCCATTCTTTTTCTTTCTTTCTTTCTTTTTACCCACTGACAAAAAGTAGACAAGGAGGCAAAGAAGAAGAATCAAAGACCCCTAGATCATCTATTCAGTGAATTCTCAACCCTGGATAATAGGATTAACTGTTACACCTCTGGCATTCCCTTAAGAAGAAAGCATCCTTCTCTCCAAGTTCCAAAACACAGACAGAAAAATTACACAGTATGTCAACAGCCGATGGGACAGTAGGATTTTCTGGGTCTTTCCTCTTTACCAGCAGCTCTTACTGGTGCCTGTCATCTAAATGGCTGTGACTGTGCGTGTGTACATGGAAAAGGAATACCAGGGCACTGATAAGGCTGCACAGGAGGATACATCTGAAGAAACACTTCTACCAGGACCACTAGTTCTCAGCACCTCCCTTCTATTTCTGAGAGTCCTTTAATTTTACCATAAAGCTCACCTTCCGAATATAATAGAAATGAACAGCCCAGGAGATAACAGCTGATTCCCAGGAAAAGTTCCCAATTCTGAATAATCTTTTCTAGAAAACAAAGGACTAGCAGGAAGATGCCTTTCAGGAAAACCTACCGTTTTGGTGATCTCATTTTCAACTTCACGGAGGTCTGAATGTTTTTCCACGGTAGTATTAAGAAACGTTTTCTTTATTTTAAACTCTGTCACGAAGGTCCTAACTGAAAACAAAAACAACCTGTTAGACCTCACAAGGTTGACCTACGCAAGGCTGAGTGTAAATCTCCGGGGCACTCAGCTTTCCTCCCCCTCCTGGCACTTCCTTCTCCGTGAGGGTGGAGACCACCTCCGGGCTCCTCCAGCAAAGCGAGCACCTAGTGAGCTGAGCTGAAGGCTCCGATCAAGCACCCTTTGCGTGCCTTCTGTGTATGTGCAAGGGCTCTGGGAGAGTGCCTGACCTCTCCCCCGTGGCCTCCCACGCCTCAGATGTCCAGTGAAGCTGTGACAGAAAAGAGAGCTGAGCTGGCCTAAAGAATGTACTCCCAGGAGAAGGAGAGGGAAATGTGGGGCTAGAAAGACAAATGCTCATTGGCCCCTAGAAAGCTTCAGATGGAGGACAGTGCTTGCTGTCTAGTTCTTTTACCAAGACAGCGAGTCCTCACTTTCAAGGGCGTGCTCTGGGTTCCCCTTCTCATTAAGGCCGCATCCCATCTAACCTCCATTCCTTTTGCTCAGAGGAAATGCCTGCTCTGTCATTGACAAAGGAGGCTTCTAGAAACCAGGTTCCTCCACAAATCATCCAGCTCCCAAGGGTCAAGATTAACATTTAACATCACGTGTGTCCATCTTCTAAGTTCTTCCTTCCCCCCTATACCCTCAGCCCCCGAGGAATCTGATATTCTAAGGACCACCAAGGGGCTACAGAGAAAGGTGCCAAACATCTGTAGGGGACCCCCACTCCAGGGGGCTGCCAGACTCCACAAGTACAAGCCATATGATGAAAACAACCCGTATTCAAGATACTGTTGGGTTCAGACATGAAAGAAAGCAGCCCCATTTTTGAGGCCCATTTCAATCATAAAATAAAATTCTAGTTAATATCAGTTTATGCTGATTGGGCCTGAGGGGAATGGAACTTACAAATGGGCAGGAAATCAAAAATTAGGAAAGCCTGCTTTACATCTGGTCTTATCTTCCTTTAGGTTAAATTCTTATCTTTCCCTCTAGACAAGGGAAAAAAAAAAAACCCAAACACAGAAACCAATGAAGCTGCTCTTTCATAGAAAGCCTGGCTGAATTAAGAAAAGGGCCCACAAATGAGCCAGGGAAAACATTTAACATCTTATACTTACTGTCTAAAGCCCTTAATCCTTATTTAACATCTTTTTGCTTGTTCTACAGTTCAGTGAAGCCAGCTGCTCAGGACTCTTTCTGAGCAGCAGGGAGCTCTTTGAAAATATTCTTGGCCAAATGAAAGCATTTCAGCATGCTCTAATTTGCATGTTCCTCTGATGTTTATGAACAATGAAGCTAAATGACTTGCAAAGGGAAAGATGATTGTTAACACAATAAAAGGCTCTCCTCCTGATCCATGGTGCCTGTGGGACACTCCACACACAGGCTTCCAGAACAGCCCCCTACGGGTTTGGCCTCACATCTCACAGGTCCAGGTCTGTACCCAGACTCCCTGTGCAGAACATACATGTTGTAAACGTCAAGTACACAGATCTCTTCTGAATCAGGACAGTGAATGTGGCCCCTGCACTCGGTGTGAATATAAATAAGACACCACGGTGCCCTCCCAGCCCTGCCGTCTCCCAGGCATAGTCACATCTTCATGCTGCAGTTACATCATCAGGCTTTAAGGCAATTTTAAACTGCTGAATTACACAGGTTATCTAAATGATTTTTTTTGAAGATCTGTAATTATTACTTTGCAATCAGAGTAGTTTATCATTTTCACTGCTTTCAGTTCTGGTCCTAGAGGTGAGAACTCTACCGTTTCCCAAGCTTGCCCAAATCCAGGATTTTATTTGATCTTCACAATAACCCTGAGTGGGAAGCAGAGAAGGTGGTAATCTGATTTCACACAGGAGGAAACCGAGGCTTGGGGGTCCAGGTGCTGTAGGCGCTGGCCCTGGAGCCGGAAGCCTGGCACTTGGGTTCCTGGGCAAGTGTACTTTTCACATCGCTTCCAAATAAAATCATTTCCATTGTCTCCATTCTTAAACGGAAAACTCCTGGCTTATTCCTTACAGGGTGTAACTAAATGCAATTAACTATTAGAGTATGAAGACTTCTTGACTTTGACTGATGTATATATTCCCAAATCTTCCTCTCTTAAATTTGATCCTTGTATTTGAAACAATTTTCAAAATTCTACCACTACTTCGCTAGGGTACCAACCGTAGAAATACATCTCTAGGCCCCAGATGGCACCGTCCTGCCTGGGGTGTCCTGAAAGCCAACTGAACCCTCAAGGTCCTGTAGATGCTCCCCTTGGTCAGCCAATCCCCAGCAGCAAAGCCAGCTCTGGGCTTTATACCCCTCTCCTGTTCCTCCATCTTTCTAAACAAGGTCCGAGATGCAACCCTAGCCAATCATGCCCTGCTCCTGCATTGCTGCCTCTCCGCTCTATAAAACTCGCTCTTGCCCAAAGGTGCTCAGGGAGAGGGCTCCACTGGTTGTGAGAGCTGTACTCCCCTGGCCCATGGAGTGTTTTCCCTTGAATAAAGGACATCAGACTCATCACCAAATTGCTTTAGTTAGTTTTGTCATTTGACACCAGCTTCTTAAAAATTCTGATGATTCCCCTCAGCCTATGGGCAATAGGGAGTCATGCAAATAACACTTGCAAAGGACACAGACACTAGTTCTCTCAAAAAACTATTCACCAAGCACTTTTTCTGTGTTAAGTATCATACTGGGCAATTTTAGGTGATTCCAAATTGAGTCACTGTACCCACCAGCTCCCTTAACCAGCTTAGATAACTCTGCGTTCCTCACTTCTAATTTCTTCCTCAAGTTCTGCATTGAACTCAGCACCCTGACACACCAGGCACAGGGAATATACCCTGTGTGCAAGAAAGCTCCTCCGAAGAACACGTTACCGCGTGATGGAGAAACGGCGGGCCGCAAACCTGGCCTCTCGCCAAGCAGCTGTATAAGCTGGGCCACTGAGCACCTTGTCAAAGCCTTGGTTTTCATTTGGTTTGCTTTTTGCTTTTCAACCTGTAAAATGCAGATTATATCTAAAACCAACCAGCTTCATGAATCTATTAAATCAGGGAACAAAACATAACAAACTGCATGATACAATGATGGCAGGAGCTTTGTAAAAATGTATCAGCCTGTGGACAAGAACATGAAGACTGTTTTTCCTTCTGGTTTTATTGAAGATCATTTTTAAAAATAAAGAGTGTGTGAATGTGATAGGATAATCAGGGTTTTATTTTCTTTTTTCTCTCTCTAAAATGTTTTTTTTTAACTCATTGGGTAGAACATCCTTTTGAAGGGGGAAGGTACAGCTCAAGCGGCAGAGCACATGCTTAGCTGCACGTGTCCTGGGTTCAATCTCCAGTACCTCCTCTAAAAAATAAATAAATAAGCAAACCTAATTACCTCCTCAAAAAATAATATAATTAAATTTAAAAAAAAAATCCTTTTAATATTTTTTCTTCCTAACTGTGGGATGGGATGGTTGAGCAAATAATGTTATGCATAAATGATGGTATATTTATGCAGTCACTACAAAGTTTGTATAATATTTTTAATAACCTCAGAAAATGTTTAAGATATAGAGTTTGTACAAATACCACACGACTTCCACTATATGAAAAATACACTAAAAAAGATTGCAAATAAGGTGCTATATCTCTGAGTGGTAGAATAATAGGCAGCGTCTTTTACTCCTTCTGTATTCCTTAAATTTACACCTTGGACAAATATTGATTTTGATTAAAGAGAAAACCAGTAAATGTTATTTTGCAAAATACACTGTGACACAGACAAAATTCCAAGATAGATGAATTCTCTTACCCAAATTGCATATCCCTTTTTCCAGCTGATACCCCACTGGGCATCTGCAGGTGAAGGATCCCTGAGTATTGTTGCACACGGCCAGGGGTGGGCAGGGGCTTGAGAGGCACTCATTCACGTCTGCAAGGAGAGAACACAAGGCCATGCTGAATCTGCAGCAGATGGCAAAGCCATAATTTAGTACGGGGGGCACTTGCTAAGGGCCAAATGGCACCAGGGTTGGTAGGGCCCCGAGACTAGTGGACACGACCCTTGTTCTCAAGAAACTACCAGTCTACTGAGGATGGGGGCAGCCAAGGATACAGGTAACTACAAATACAGGGCAAGATTTGAAAGCACAGAGAAAGCAGCGATTTGGATGGAAGGGAGAATTAAGTACTGTTTCAAATAACATCTGGACTAAGACCGGAGGGATTTTAATAGCAGATGTGGGTGGGGAAGATTCTAGGCTGAGGCACCAGCACAGTGAAGGCCAGGAGCAGGAAAGGGGGTGGGTAAGGAGGCTGTGGGTTTTGGGGATGGCCAAGTGGTCTGGTGTGGCCAGAGTGAAGGGGACCCACAGAAGGGAGCCAGGTCTTGAAGGCCTGTCAATGCCACAGTCTGACATTACTCTGCAGACAGCATGTACGCATTCTAACTTCCAAGTGAGCAGGGTATTAAAGATCTTACTCCCCTACATTTTGGAGGAAGAAGGAGTTTACCGCCCATCTCAGTGTGATACTGTACTGTAGACCACGGCAGGTTACATTTCCTCTTACCCACACTGCAGTCATCCCCTTGCCAGGAAGGTGAGCACAGACATCGGTACCCACGGCTGGTGGAGTCCATGATGCATTTCCCATCATGAAGACAAGGGTTAGTGGCACAGCTGTTAACTGAAAACACATTTCAGGAATAAAGCAGTTAATCATACAGGAAAGGGAAAGGCAGCTCTAGGCAAATGTTTAATCCTCCCAGCTAATGTTTGATTCTTGCTTATTTCTGTTTACTTACCCTGAAAGGCCACACCTCTAAAACAGAATAGGTCTCTAGGGTGCAGAAGAGATGCATTGGGACTGGATACGGCACCGGCTTGTGCACACACACACACACGTGTTAGACGGTTGGATCTCCGAACACAAGAACTGGTTCAAATCCAGATGCTTATAGGCCCCTCAGCTCGGGAATGAGGATTACATTGCCTTGTGATATGTAACAAATTCTACTTGAATCAGTGTGAATTTAAGACACACATTAAGGGGGAAGTGGTTCGTGATCAACCATCCTCCCTGCTCCAAGTTTTCTTCTTTCCCAATCTCAAAATGTAACTGGACCTCCATATACCGTGCAGTCATTCAGAACAATGACTGGAGGCAGTGTGAAGGAAAAGCCCAGCTAGGCTAACAAGCTAAGTCACAAATCTAAGTGCAACAAGTGTCGGATTACTGATCTGAGTTCTGCTGGGCTAATTTGTAAATCTAAAGTTATTGTCAGTTTACTGGGCTAACAAGCTAACTCATAAATCCAAGCTCAACAAGTGTCAGTAACGTGATCTGTTCCAAATTGATAAGCTTCAGTGTACTGATTCCTTGTTTTTTGTTGTTTGAGCCTTATTGGCTAATAGCCCATACTTGTAATTAACCCTATAAAAACCTCATGTGCACGTCTTGGAGGTGCTCAGAGCTTCGGAGCAGAAGCCCCTCTGAGCCCGCCGGCATAATAAATCTGAGTACTCCAACCCTCCGAGTGGTGCTTGTTTCTTGGCTGGCCTGTCATTTCCGTAACAGTAGCACTTCGAAACCCCCTCTTTAGCAGTGTGACAGTGAGCCCATCTGATCATCCCGGCCCTAACTATGCACAGGCTCCACTGTCACCCTGGACTCCTGGCTCCCAGGGGCAGTGACCGCAACTCCCTGTTTTGGTCTGTATAACCGGCATTATCATGCTGCGGTTATTATAATACCTGCCTAATAAAGGTTTCTGACTCACACTTAGAAAAGCCAAAATCCACAACATTAAAAAAAATCATCTCCAAGGAGAAAAATCAGCGGCAGAATGAGAAAAAGGTGCCGTAGTCAAGAGTCCTAACTCCAAAAGAGGAACCCTGAAGACAGATGGGCTAAATTTGAAGATGGTGTCCCTGTCCTTCATCACTACTTAAATATACCTAAGGTCACCTGTGTAAGCATAGCACCTATATATCCCAACGCTGCACCCACAGACAGTCACAAAAGACTTAACATCTCCAGTAAGGATGCTTCTAATACTCGCCTATAGCTACCACTGCAATGGCCATAATCGGCTTTAACGGAGACTTGTGAATTATATTCCACCAGGTATTGGAATGTATTTGCCTTCTGGATATGAAGGCTGTGAGTCCTGAAGCCGGGATCCCAAATTTGCCAGAAGTTGCCTCCCATTTCCCGGCAGTGCTCAGACCACTCGCACCCAGAGGGCACTGATGCATCAGGGCTCTACAGGGATGCTGTGGGCCTGGTCTACGGCTCTCCAGCCCCCAGTTGGGTGATGGCTGGCTAACTGGAACTCTGCCTCCAACTGAGCTCCGCGCTCCAGCCACTACAAAGTATCTCTTTTTCCCTCTTCCCTTCAGTCTCCCTGCCACCCCTTTGCCAATAGCAGTTTTCCTTTCCTGGGTCTGGACAAGCCAAATGTACAGTTTTGACCATGACATCAAAGAAGACAACATCCTATTTCCTTCTCCCTTTTCTTAAGTGATAAAGAAGCACGTGGAGGGCTTTATTTCCCTTGTCCCAGCAACTTCAACATGCATATAAAGATGTGTAACCTCAAGTGCAAGGTCAAGAGCCCTGGTCACATGGTCACTATGGGAAAAGGTCAGTTCATCGTTCTCTCATGGAACACATTCCCTCACCTGCATTTATCAGCCAGCATCATAATCTTAGGGAGGCCAAGGAGCCTGGGCTTCCCTGGATCAAGGTAAGTTTCCCTGGTGCCCGGGAAGCCGGCTGACTAACTCAGAGGCTTTGGGCTCTGACCTGGGAGCAGGCACCTACTCTCTCTCTGTCTCAGGCCACCTTGAGATTCCTGACTCCAGTTTTTCCACCCTTCAATTCCACATCACTACCCGACTTGGCCTTGTTAGCGATAAAGGCATGCCTGAAAAGTTCTTGCAGTGACGGGGACATCACAAGCTACAGTACACACAACAGGGGGCATTTTTTCCTCTTCCTTCAGGAAGCATTATGTTACTTAGGGGTGAGAAAACTGCCACTATGAGATTCTTTTCTGTTTTAAGTGCTTCAACTGAAAGTATTTAAGCTCACAAAACAGATACAAGCCACCACCACACGTCGGTGTGAACCCAAGCCCCGAGCAGCTGTGTGCTTGTGTGACCTGTTCTACCTGAGGCTGGAGATGGCGGTCCTGCGGGTGACTGGGTGCGGCTCTGAGTGGCGGAGGTGGTCAACTTAGGAGTCACCACTTCTACCGTAGAAACGTGTGTGGTTTGGGGAGATGTTCTCAGGAAATGTGAAGCTGGGCTATACTCTTCTGTAAGGCCAAGCTCTGTGGTCAATTCTTTTGTTGATGTGGGGGCGATGGTTACGGGGACTGATCTGGTGGTAGCATCTATGAGCACCTGGCTCCTCTCTGTGGTGACAGCACCTTCAGTTGAGACTTGTACCACAAGAATTTCGGGACTGGTTGGTAGGAACTGTTTTCCAACCACCGTCTGTACTGCTGTGCGGCCACCCATCTGAGCTGTTGTGCTTGATGTGGGGCTGGGGCTGGGCACTGGGGGATGAGAGGCCTGGAGAGTGGTGGCTGCCACAGCTGGAGACGTTTGGGCTAAACTGGTGCTTGTGGCTGGAAGGGTTTGTTCATTGGAGGCCTCTGTTAAGGCCGGGGCCAAGGGGAGCCCCAGAGTAGACCTCACTGTGACAGCTTCTGTGGCCTCCATGGGCAGAGCCTCCAGGTGTGGTGGCTTTGATTCCGTAATGATTTTCTCGAGGTGTGGGCTGCTCTGGTTCTTAGGCTCTGCTGTTTGACTACTGGGGAGCACTTCCATGGATGATGCCACTGTCGACATCTGAACTGAAGTCACAGGAGCGTCCCTGGCCCTAGGCAGGACCAGGGTAGAAGATGTAGGTGGGAGGACTGTTTGTAAGACAGACGGCGAAGAAGGGGTGGATGCCGTCAGTGATGCTGGTGAAGAGGCTGGTAAGGAAGACACACGTGTGGGCGCATCAGGCATGGACTGCTGTGGATGAGTGGAGGCCCTGGCTGCTGTCAAGGCTGACGGGAATGCGTGGTAGGACTGTGACACAGAGGGCTGGAGTCCAGGCAGCCCTGACGAAGAGGGTGATGGGTCAGGTTTAGCATAAGCGTTCAGAGGAACCAGCGTGTTCCGTGGTTCACTAACGGTGGCTGTGTAGGACAGAAGGTTGGTTGTGCGCAGAACCAGTGACTCAGTGGAAGGCTGAGCAGATTCCCCTTCGTGGGATGAGACGTGACTTCTTTCACTCTGAGCCTGAGAAGAGGAAGAAGAATCTAAATGTGAAGAGTTTGAGATCTTAACAGAAAAGGTCGAACTCTCCCTCAGGTCAGAGGATGAGCTGTTGTCTGCAATGGACAATAGCGTCCGTTCTCCTTTGGTGAATGTAGCTGAAACATAGGTGTGGTCGGTGTGGTCGCTGGAACTCCTGTGTTCAACATCTGTGCCTCCCACCTGATCGTAGCCAATTCCAGTGACTGCAAAGGGAAAACCTAAAGTTAGGTCAACTAAACAAATACCTGCCAAACCTGCACTCTGAGACAGACTTTTAGTCTCCTATCTATGAACGCTTGGGGGTGAAATGCTTTCTTTGGAGAGGTGGCTTTCAAAGGTGAGCACGCTTAATAGAGACAGTATTGGAAGGCAGGAAGGGTCTGGATCTACAGTGAGTAGACCTGCCCTCCTGTGAGAAGCACAGAGGCAGCAATGCAAACGGTAATAAAAGCAAAGTGGGGCCAGGGGCTGAAAAATAGGGAACAGGACCAAATTCCTTTCACATGCCTTTTTTGATAAAAGCAAATTAGTATCTGAAAAGCTCTTAAGACCTCAAATAGAACAATTGTTATGCCTAAATGGGAAAAGGAAAACCCTCCCAACTTTCCATTCTGGATAATGAGATATTTCTTTCCCAGGAGATTGGCCTTAGCCACAACGCGGCTGGGCCCCTTCACTGCCAACATCCTGGCAGACAACGCCGCAAACGCCTGGGGCAAGTGTGTGGGAGGATGTGCGGGGGCGGTGGGGGAGCCCAGAAAGCTCTCCTCACAGACAGCTTGGAAGGCTTACGACTTTCTGGGCTGAGGGAGAACGCAAATCATTCTAGGGCTGCAAACAGACACATGAGCTGAGGGAATGTAGATAGAGATCCTGCCCGTCACCTCCGAGGGCACGCGAGGCCGCCAGAGACCCCGAGGCCAGGTGGCCGTCACCGGTCGCGGTCACGTTCCCGGGCTGAGTGGCGCTCTCT